GATCTCCCTCTTAATGTTTATGATGGGTGATGTTATCTAGTCTGATATCTATCTATCTAGTTTGATGGTACCTTGAACATTGGTATTTTTTTATTTATTTCTATTTCTATTTCGGTTGTTGAAAACACCTCTGAATGAGGCTGTTAGGATGATGAACTTATGCCTTGGGTACGTATAATTATGTTCTGGTAACTATTTCTGTTTCAGTTCATATTTGCTTATCTGGTTGCTTAAGTTTGTTTGTGTGGCCTAGAGTGTGTAGAGTAGTTTGCAGAATTTACCTTTGTGTATGCTCGTTTGCTCCCTGTGCAGGTTGCTTGGATTGTCATGATCATACTCAAGTAAAAAGAGGGAGATTGTTAGTGCAAAAGAATCTGCTGAAGCAACAGGATCAATGAAGTAGTGAAAAGTTCGTGTGCTACACAGAAGCTGGACGGAATAATCAGCAAACTAAGGAGAAAAGTCTTCTTGTGACTAAGCACGCCAGGTGGCACCTCGAGTTGGGAACTGCACTACCAGGAAGCATATGGGAAAGTCGGGTTCGAGAAATAAGGAGGTCTGACACAAGTGCACAAAGTCAAAATGCAAGTGAGATTACTTACTGTTGATAAAAGGTTGATGGGACTGGTGGTCTGACTTCAACAGGAACAGTTCTGTTCCCCTTTCGGATTAAAGGGGAGCTGTTTTTAGGGCTATAGGAGTTGCTGGTTGCTACTACTATAAAAGGAGGGGGGATAGTTCATATGCCGACTAGTTCTTTCGAAATAGCTCTTTGAAGAACTCAGAAATAGTGAGAGCCATTTGATCTATTGTGTTGAGTGAAAGAGATAAGTTTCGTAACTGTTGTTACGTTACATTGGGTAGATTAGGAACACGTTCAGGAGCGAATCACGGTGTGTGTGATATCCCGTAACTCTGGGTAGAATAGGTTGTAGGATCTGTTCTATAGAAGTGTTTGAGTAATCTATCTGTTGCAACAGTTGTGTCGTGTATCAGCTTGTGTCATACGGGAAAAACAATAAAGGCTGTGTGTTTTTATTGGAAACTATATGTCTCTTGTTCATATTTCTGTTCAAGTATCTTGTACAAAGGTTCCTGCTTTTTCAGATACGACAACAAATATTTCTCCATGAGATCTATTTTTATCGGACATGGACCTAGGTTTAAGAGCGGAAAGAAAGTACCGTCGTTTGAGAATGTTCAGATCTACAATGTTGTTGCAGAGATACTCGGACTCCGACCAACTTCGAACAATGGCTCTTCTTTATTCAGTAGGAACATTCTCTCAAACTTTGGAAAAACAGGGAAATTTGAATGAAGCTAAAAACCCCGCAAATTATCTCATGACAGATATTCATGAATAATATAATAAGCTAATAATTGTAATTTTTTGTTGTTGTCAACGTGCATATTTATATTTAAATAAATTGTTTTGTTAACTAAGTCAGAAAGGAAGAATTGAAATA